ACCGTACTGCAGGCCAATAAACTAGGCGCTTTTAAAACCTAATATGCAAAATAAGTGGATCATGTCTGAAACCAAGCTCTTTCAAAAGTAAAAAGTAAAAAATATTTGAACCTCTTTGAAACCAGTTCTTATGAATAAAAGGCATACTAAAGAGTGTAAACATAAATGTCTTGATTCTGGTAGATCTGAAGTTTCATTCCCTCAAGAAGGGAGAGCAATTCTCTGCAAGTTATTTCTCCAGCTCTCTCATTTTTCAGGGCAAGACACCACGTTTTCAAATTACTGACACCTCGGTTTTCTGCACCTACCCTCAAGCAACAACATGTAAGAAGCTCTCACGGTAGTTTTAAATGCTGTATTTAAAAATACAACTTGCATGTAAACCACCTCTTTCTCAAGGTGGTTTGAGATCTTAAAACAGAAACCATATAAAACAAAACGGGATGAAGTCGTGTTCTGAAAGGTTTCACTTGGCCCAATATTTGTATTAAAAATACCACGGCAAGAAGAGGGGCTTCTTTATAAAAGCGGGTTCTCCATCCACAAAGGCCTGACTCAGAGCGGGGCAGCATCTTTGCCAGGAAACGGCATCCTACGACAGGAAGGGGCCAGCGCGAAGATCAAGTTCTGCGTTTCTAAGTAAAGGGCGGGACATTCTTCAATCCCCACAAACCTTAAACTATTCTTGAACCGCACTGGACCCCCTTTCCGGCCAAGCGAGTGCCCTGGGACCTGTCTTGAATCAGCCGGATTGAAGGGCCGGCAGCAGGCCAGCAGTCGCAATGGCCGCGCACACTTCTCTTCCCTGCAGCTCGCAAGAGCGGGCTGCGGGTGTCGCCGGGCGGGCGATGACCAGAGCGTCTGCGCTGTGTGACCAGGGCCAAGGATGCGGCCCCTGAACCCGGGCCTTCCCCGCGACCCCTCTGCGGTTCGCTTCTGGAGACCGGCCTGGGGGCTGCCGGCCACACTAACCCAAGTGGTTCCTCGCTGCTCCCATCAAACCACAAGGTGGTGTATACATTCTTGGTCACACCCATCGCCACTTGAAATTATCTTAATTCCTCTACTCGCTGCTCGTTCCTCTCGCTAGAATCCAGCCCCAGGCGCTGGGACCCCGCGGCCCCCGGCGGC